GACAGATTGCATCACTTTTGTGCGGCTTACCACAGCTAGCGTGTGTGACTTTCAAATATGTTTTAAGCATTTCAACTGTCAGAATATCACTGCATGTATGACATGACAGTTAAAAGTAGTTAAGCTATAAGCTGATGGAGGAAGCATTTGAAGCTTAATTATTTTAAACACGGGCTGAGTTTTATACTACTTATAGTTCCTCCCTTTTGGGGAGTCACATTATAGATCAATTTAATATATGTTTATTTCTATAGTCGATTTTACAATGTAGATTGTGTCTAAGCAGCTTAACATAGAAGTTCTAGTAAATTGAAATTGTGTCAGTCCAGTTTTTAGAGTTTAAATTCAGTTTAGTGTGGTTTAATTTTCACTGCTGAAAGTCCAAACACTGAAGAACAAATTCATCGATGCGCAGCTCCACAAGTCCCAATCAAGCAAGCCAGTGCCAACTGTGGCGAGGAACAAACTTCACCAACTGACGAAAGTGAAGGAAAAAACCTTGGCCAAACCTTCTGTGCAGAGCTACAGTCTAGGCACCGGAGGCTGGAGAACGTTGGCCATCCATCATGGAGAAGCTGCATGTGTGAGTAGGGCACCGGCGGGTGTTCAGACTGGCCCACAGGATCAATGCAGAGACTCTTCTGACACTGGTCTTTCAGGAATTAGTCTCACGCTTCCCGCTCCTCCACAAGCACCACAGCATTAGCTCAAGATACAGCCTAGTCCAGGATCATGGATACCTTTGCATCATTTCTTCACAGGCCTTGGATCACATCAATGGTGCCACATAATCTCTAGAGGCCTCAGGATGAGTATCTCCAGGTAGAAAAATAGAGTGAGACAGGAGGAGTGTGTCCTACATGTAGTTGTCAAGCCCGCTCACCTGCGTGGAGCACACTCATGCATCGTAATGTTATGTTGATGCATTGTGTGAATGCCTTACTAAAAAGATAGGTCTTTAATCTAGTTTTGGACTGAGAGAGTGTGTTTGAGTCTTGGACATTATCAGGATGCCTATTCCAGAGTTTCGGAACCATAAATGAGAAGGCTTGACCTCCTTTAGTAGACTTTGTTATTCTAGGTACTTCCCGAAGCCCTGAGATTTGAGATCTTAAAGAGCGGGTTGGATTGTAATGAGAAAATGTTTAGTTTGATAAACAGGAGCTAGATTATTTAGTTATTTAGATTAGAAATTTTATGGGTAAGAAGCAATATTTTATAATCAACACAGAACTTAACAAGCAGCAGCAGGACCGGAGTGGGACTCCTTTTCAGCCCTGAATTTTCAAGCCTTAGACCGGCCCACCTTAGTTCACGACTGAGTATATTAAAATAACGTCATTTCCAAATCAGTTTCTAATAAGAGTAACAGCTGCTTTAGAACTTCAAAAATTATTCATAAATATGAGAACATTAAAGGATAGCTAAATCTCCAACACTATTATTTAAAACATCAAAAAACATAAAAAATTCTTTATAGATATCCAATCCTTTGTAATGGTGGTCACACAAAAAAATTAAAATTAAATATGTACACCTAAATGAGTAACCCAAACAGTATTATATGTCTTAACACTAAAAATTAAAAAAGAATAAAAAAGAATAATAATTTACTCAAGTAAAGATCGAACTCAGGTCGGGGGCATTGTAATGCAACATGCTGACCACTGGATCACAATGGCACTGTAACGCAAGTGCGAAGAAAAAATAAGTATTGCACTGTTATCTGCAATACTCGTTTAACCACAGTATTACTTTCTATTGATGGCTTAATCTTTTTCTTCCCTTTACAGATTTCTGATCAAGTTATGTCAGATTTATTAATGTGGTTAATCATCTGATTTTCATTGAGCAGGTGTAATATTCATTAATATTAATTATTCAAATTCTTATTTTCACGAAGGTGCCTCTGTTTGGGGTCGACTGATAGTTACATCATCATTAAACTGCAGGCTGCATTTTGCTCATGGGGCTGCGAGAAAATTAAATAAAAAAGCGGAGCTACGGCAATATAATGAAAAAAAGGATGAGGCTATGGTCAAATAAATAAATAAATGAAAAAAAAGTGTGACTGCTGAGAGTGCAAACAGCTAGGGACACCGGCCTTTGCGACCAAAAAACGAACCGGTCCTCCTGATAAGCCAATCCGGGCCTGGACAGCAGGTGTAAAGAGGATAAAATTGGGGTGATATGATCATATTTTCTAAACCTGGTGAGAACTCTGGCAGCTGCATTTTGCACTAAGTGAAGTTTATTAATAGAGGATGCTGGGCAAACAGCAAACAGAGCATTACAGTAATCCAGTCTAGAAGTCATAAAAGCATGAACTAGCTTTTCTGCATCTGATAATAGTTAGATAATAATCGTGCAAAATTTGTCAGATGTTAATATTGTTTGACATAATTCCTGCCTAATTGAATTGTATTGCTAGTGTGCACTTCTAAAACATCTTGTATAAAAAAATCATATTAACTAAATTATAATTGTAAATTAAGTGTAC